GACGTGGAAATGCCATGTCAGTTCAGCAAATGAATGAATGCATGGGCCCACAGGTGGGCTCTCCAGAAAACAAATGCTCCCTTTAGGAGATCATCTGGGGTTTTTCAGCATCCAACAAGACTCTTTGCCTAGCCAAGCCCCTGCTTTTGCCCGTGAGTTATTTTGTACCAGGTTTTGTGTGAGCCGCTGTGACTGATGTAGCAAATGTTTGCTAATACCTGCTACTGTGAGACAGACCTGGTGCTAGGCTTTGTGGGGAGATATGGATGAATTTGGAATGACCTCTGCCCTCCAGCGCTCATAGACTAAGAGGACAAATGGTAATGTTGGAATAATAGAGATAATTGCCTGAGCGATTGTTGAGCATTTACTGCATGCTAGATATTGTGCTGAATTTGCAGACAGATTACGTAGACATTGAGACAATTACATGAATCACTTAAACTAAAGTCCTCTTTTTACATAAGGGGAAACTGAGATTCTGACAGGTTAGCTTACCCAAGCCACACAACTCTAAAGTTGTGGAGCTGGACATGGGCATGCAAGAGAAGATATGGACACAAAAAATTCTAGTATGAGGTAGAAGCTACCATGTATCTCATCAGAATAGAGAAATCTAGCAAGATCATTAATATCACATGCAGATAAAATTTTGTTGATGGCCCCTTGGTAATTTATAAATTATTATTTTTTGTATGTCTTATACCGACCACTGTCTCCCTTCACCCACTTTTCTGTTGTTTGTCCCCCTGGGAGGGGATTATATGTCGATCATTTATCAAGGGTTCATGAAGGAGAGAAGGGGGGTGGGGGAAATGAGTTGATACCAAGGGCTCAAGTAGAAAGAAAATGTCTGGAAAATGATGATGGCAACATATGTACAAATGTGCTTGACACAATGGATGGATGTATTGTTGTAAGAGCTGTAAGAGCCCCCAATTAAATGATTTTTTTAAAGCAACAGCTAAAAAAATTGTTGATGGCACTTTAAAAATGACTGCAGCAGCACATTGGCAGAAAGATGCCAAAAAAAAAGTCAAGCCAGATCCAGAAGAGGATGTGGAATGAGGGATAACATTGCTGAGGTCAGATGGATCTTGGCTGAAAGCAGAGAGTGCCAGAAAGATGCTTACCTATGTTTTACTGACTATGCAAAGGCATTCGACTATATGCGTCCTAACAGAACATGGATAACAATGGGATAACAATGCAAAGAATAGGAGTCCCAGAATGCTTTATTAGGCCCCTGAAGACCTGTGTACAGTTGAAGAGGCAGTTGTGAACAGAACAGGGGGACACCACATGGATTAACATTAGGATGGGTGTGTGTCAGAGTTGTAACTGCTCACCAAGCTTACTCAACCTGTGTACTGAGCAAATAATCCAAGGAGCTCAACTTTATGAAGAAGAACGTGACATCAGGAGTGAAGGAAGGTTTATTAACAACCTGCAATATGCAAATGGCACAGCCTTGCTTCCTGAAGCCCAAGTAAAATTAAATTCCTTAATGATGAACATTGAACACTACGGTCTTCAGTACGGATTACAACTCAATGTAAAAAAAAATCCTTACAACTGGATCAATAGATGGAAGTCGTTGAGGATTTCATTTTTTGTGGACCCGTAATCAGCACCCATGGAGACAGCAGACAAGAAATCTGAGGGGAGACAGAGGCGGATATAAAGATCCAGGCATGGATTTTGGGCTCTCACTTAATCCTAGATCTAATCTAAGAACAATTAGTCCCTACGCCACGGTCCTGTTCAATACTCTCCTTGATGAAGCAAACACAGAAGATATGGGTGCTACAGCAAAGTGTGGTGAGGAAAGTAGATGAGTCCCAGCAATCGAATAGTGTTTGGGGTCTTAAAGGCCTGTTTTCCAGCAAACAGCCATGTAAGTGAGATGTCAACTAAATCCACATGGAAGAAGCACACCAATACCCATGATCCAAGGATTGTAAATTATATCATCCAAAGCCAAAGGAAGGAATGGTACCAGAGTTTAAATTGTGGGGTTCTGGCTTGCAGAAGGCTATGACTGACAGTGAAAGCCCAAAATCCATTTACAGGGTCTACATATGGATTAAGCCTCCAGTGAATCCCCTCTGATCATAGTTGAAGGACGTGAATAACCCTGTTATCAGACAGAGAGCTTTATAAAGTCGATTATGATAGACATAATTAGGTCAAAATGGAATATGTTATATGTGATCTCCCTTTGGACCTACTTTAAGCTGTTTCAGCATTTTTTTTTAACTGAAGGGGGAATACACATGGATTAAGCCCCTGGCCAACCCCCTCTGTCCACGGACCAGCGATGCAGATAGCTGTGCTGATATTCTGCAGGGTAAAGTGGATTGCTGCAGATGCAGTTAGGGTAACATTTAGCATCAGAGCATTAGCTCTCCTTTATGATCCAGCTAGCTTTTAATATTTTCTGCTTTATTTTGAGGTTTGTTATCGGTTCTA